CAAAATCTTTTAAATGTTAAAAAGATCTATATTGAGATATCTATATTTATTTAGGCCATCTAACCATTGAGGTGCTGCATCGTTTATCTGAAAGAAATCAGACACTGGTCCATATATGCCCTCAGCTTACAGCCGGTCACAGTGGGATCTCCAGTTTGACATGGGACCCTGCAGTCACACTAAGGGAAGGGTGCTATTCCCCATTTATACAGTGAACCCAGAAGACATGTTACAATGTGGTAATTCTTTGGGAGAAATTAGAGTTTTTTTAATAAACATTTTAAAACAATCCAGGCATTGCAACTGCTCATCCTGGGTCAGATTCCAGAAAATAACTAAGATGTCCCTCCATCCTCGTTCCAGAATTATAAAGGATTTACCTCAAAGCCTCTTTTTCCCACCAGACTCAGCAGCTCTACCCTGCAGGTGCCGCAGAGAACATCTAATTTGGTAATTAGCACACATTTTGGAAGTCTCAACCCATTCCCTGTGAGAGCAACAATCAAGGAGGACCAACAGTTGAAATGAAAAGACTTCAAGATAAATATTAGAAGGGACACTGCCTGTAGATAATAGCTGCAAACATTGGGACTGGGTGCGGGTTGGGAAATAGAAGACCCTCCTTGCTGAAGATTTTCAGCTGGGAATTGGGTGGTTAGCTGTCGAGGATGGTAGAAAAAAGGAGGCTGAACTATAACTATTTATCTCAATAAAATCCTTTTCAACTGACAGACTGTGAAAAGAATGTAACAATGTTTACCCAACAGTCCTTTTGCTATCTTGTCTTGGGGCAACAATAAAAAAGCTGACACCTATAATGGATGAAGTGCTGTTCACTCCATTAAAAACAAAAGGAGAGGCTGAACTGAATGAGTGAAACGGAGGAAGGAGTAAAGATTTCCTGTGCCCTTTTGTCTCTCCTGAGAAACTGGATTGTCTTTCCATGTCACCCATGGCTTGGGTGCCATGTTCACAGTGCAACAATGGGATGACCAGGAAGTATATTGGCTTCTAAATCAGAAGCATTTAAGAATGTCATCCTCTCCTCATCCTCATCTAGTCCCATCTGCAACAGGAAGGAGTCAGCTTTGCAAGCACATTTGCAGAAGTCAAGTCCTGCTTGCCCCCCAATCTTTCCCTTTCTTCCTCCTCCCTTCCTGGGAGGCCTCAGTTTTGCCATGCAGTGCATTTAGTCTTTTAAAAGCTAAAAGGAAAGGGGAGAGGGAGGTGAGAATGTTCGCATCAGACAAATGTGTGATAAAGTGGGGAGGAGAATGGGGAGTGCACCAGGAGGAAGAATTGGGAAATAAAACCAGAAAAGTGGCACTTTATCCAAAACCTCCTCAACGCCAATTCTGCTGTTGAAGTGGACAGAGGGAATGCCCTCCCTTAGCACAAGATGAGTCCCTCCCTTATGACGACTTATTATCTAATTTGGGTCTACCATATCTGAGCTGCAAAACTCTGGGCAACCTCTCTAAACTGTAATCATATTCATTCATTTGGGCAATATAATCAATCAACTCCCAACAGCCTTCCTTCCTTCCTTCCTTCCTTCCTTCCTTCCTTCCTTCCTTCCTTCCTTCCTTTCTTCCTTCTGTTGGAAGAATTATCCTTCTGGGTTCAGTTCCAAGTGGGGAAAAAAGACACTGGAAACATGGCGGCTGTTTGGAAGGTTTAATGGTGGACAGGACCACATGGCCTGGAGCTCCAGAGTGAAAAGGAAGGATGATCACATGCTTCAAGGTGAAGGAAGAGATCAAAAAAGGGCTGAGGTGCTGAGAGTGCCTGGGTTTTATAACCTTTGTTGGTATTTGAATTGAAGCTTGTTTCTAATTGGTTGTCAGACTCCCATGAGGCCATGAGGGGCAACTCTGTAGGCTGTCCTGAGTTCCAGGCTTGGTTGAGCCTTGCTGGATGATGATGCACTGAAGGACTTTTGAGCAATTGCTATAGCTGGAGATCTTTGTTATGTAAAGTATTCTGGCCCAGGCCTTAATGGCCCACCCATTAACAAAGGTGGGGGTGAGCTGCTGCTTCTGAGGTGAGTTTCTGCTCTTGAGTTTCTACTCTTTTTAGGGGAAATATTCTGCCTTTTTAATATTTCCTAGGATATTTCAATTTTCTAGGAGAGGTGTGGGTACTAACTTCCTACACTTCCTTAATGAAGACCACTGTACTTAATCAGTTCAGATGTACAATCCATTAAAAACCCAATGTACAATCAAGCCAGAATTAAACACTCATTCCTACAAGCAGTCAACAAACCTACCAATCAAAATCCAAGCCCAGCTAACAGTACCATGGTTAAGTCTCCAAAGTTCTACAAAAAGAGCTCCATCTTCATAATTCTTATGGAAAGATTCCCAGACAGATGCTGATTAGAACTGTAGTGGGAAGCTATGCTAGCACAGAAAAATATTGTTTTCAGGTTTCAAATATTCTCATCTTCTACATGTGGGGGATATTAAGCATTTCCACTGGAAAGAGTAGAGCAAGCTACTTCCATGTGAAAAAGATGTTCCCAAAGATCCCTAGGAGGCAATCCAGGAGCCACATAGGTAGGATTTTGAATTATTCCTGCAAATCCACTGGGAAACATTTCATGTCCAACAACATAATCTGATTTTTGAAGCCCAGTTTTATTAGACCCACCCTAGTCTACATTCTACAACAAAATTCTGCTATATAGTTATTTGTAATCAAGAGGTTCTTAGCTCCTACCCTGAGAAACTTTGCAATCAAGATACTAACCAAGTGTAATGCTTCTCAATCTCAGCAGCTTTAAGATGTATGGTTACTGCTTACTAACATTCCATTGAACACAAAAATGGTTAATCATTGCCTATTAGTCATTTGGTGATACCTAACCCCCCAGAATGATCTTGATAGCTTTAAAAATTGGATGAAAAGACAACCATAAAGTTTAAATGTTATAGATGCTAAACACTTCATTTAGGAAAAGAATCAAACATCCATATACAATCTGAGAAGTATCTGACTTTGCAATAATGTGTCTGACAAGAATCATGCAGGATGGGGTAGATTGACTGTATGTAAGTATTGTAAAGCTGCTGCAAGAAAGAATTGAAATTGCTTTAGCAAAACAGTAGCTTCCAATTCCAACAAAGCTATGGGTCTTTATTTCATTCTGGTCACAACACATTAGGAACAATGCAAATTAATTGAAATGGAATCAAAGATGATGATGATTGGGCACACTTAAAATCAAAAAGAGAAGAAAAGATTGAAGGAAAGTAAGAGTCTTTTTCAGTCTTTAAAGGCATTTCACATGAAGATGACCAAGTGGTGTTTTTTTTTTCACCACTGTTTTACGATTTACCATTGTTTTATTGTAAATGTCCAGAGAGCTTTGACAATTGGATAAACTGAATTTTTAATAAATACATAATACAATCTCAAAAGCGGGACATAAAGTAATGGCTTTCAGGAAGGCAAATCCCCCAGGAATGCTATGGGGAAAAATGTAATGATTTTAGCAAGTAAACAGTGAAACGAATTACTATGATGGAGAGGTGGAGATGGGCCTCCCTTCTCTCAATATCTTTAAGAGCCTCTATAACCATCTCTTGAGACCTTTTAATTGAGTTCCTATATAGACAACTGGACTCAATGCCCTAAAATGGTTCCTTTTAATTCTGATTCCATCAGCATTTATACTTTTCAGTAGCCAACGTCAGAACCTTAGATCAAAGAGCAAAACAACAACAAAAATCACATATCCATCCCAGCTGCTTTTATTCCCAGTCATCTAAAAGAGAAATAAAATAGTTTGCAATTGTATATACACACATAATTGTTGGCATATATAACACTTCATCCATGTGTTTCATTCATGTTGTATTGATTGGTTTGTCCATGCGGGGCAAAAGCAGCAAAATGAAGGGAAGCTTGAGGGGAAATTAGAAATGTATCAAATCATCTTTCCTACTGAAAAATATCAACCCAGAAACTGAGAAGTGGGGTGAGGCAAGCCTTCCTGCAAATGAGGAACATGTTGCCAACATATTCAGCAGAGCCATGGCAATGTGCAAAGGCTTTGCTCCAGTTTCAAACACACTGCAGTGGAGCCCCAAACAAACAACATGAGTCTGTGTTGTCCAACAGCCATAAACATGGTTCTGAACTGCGTGCAGAGTCCAGCATGGAAATGCCTCATGATTGCCAGCTCACCATTCTTACAGACAGTGGTGGAATTCAGCCAGTTCACACCAGTTTAGGAGAATCAGTTGTTAAGTTTCTGAGCAGTTTGGTGAACTGGTTGTTGGAAAAAATCATTAGGGCAGAGAACCAGTTGCTAAATTATTTGAGTCCCACCACTGTTTACAGATCTTTCCAAGCCAATTGAGATGACGGTGGTGACTATGCCAATGTTCTCCCGGTGGTAATCCTAATAAAACCATTATCCTCTCAAAATCTCTATAAATCAACAATAAATAAAATTAGATATTTTCATGAAGAAATACTGCCCTATCCACTGGTCTGCTGGAGTTGGATAACCAAGTATTTCCATTTTACAGCATTGCCCATTTCTCAAGTTTAATAGAATTTTGGTACATCCCAAATTTTATTGCTGTTTCTTTTTTAGATGTACAAATTGAAGTTGTTTTCATCTTTGTGGCTCTACAAAAATACCCCAACTTTTTCCTCTCTCTTTTTTGCATGCATGCACACACATTTAAAAATAAATAAATCTCTGGCTTCCACACAAGCCATCAGCTATTAAACACCATTGCACCTATTTAACTGTACAACATTTTTGAAAGAAGATAATTATTAAGAAATAATTAAGACGTTTGCTTGGCCTTCAAATCTGTTGTGATCCTAACTGAAGAGCAAGAAAGCAACGATATCCACCAATGCAGCAGAAATGGACCAAAAGAGTCGCCATACCTCCTCCATCCCCTGCTGAAGTTTTCACTCTGCAGTGAACTAAAGCCGTCACAGGGTACAAACTTCCTCTAACAAAAAGCCACAAGAGGAAATGCTGCATTTTGAAACCTACCAAACTGAGCTCTGGAACAATTGTTAGTTTCCAGAGGTTCAACCTGGATGAGAAGGAAGATTTTCATTTGGTGCTTCAGTGAGATGACGGTGTTGGAATGAGCCAGGGACAATGGGATCTCGGATCAAGTAAGACCTTGGGACAGGTTCAAGAAGTAAGGGTTGGGGTTGGGGTGGCCTATCGTAATGTTCCACTCGCATTAAGTGTACTTCAGTTTTACTTTTGCAATGCAGAAGTCAGCGAAGATCTCTGATCTCCTGATCTGTTGGGAAATAAAAACATTTTGCTCCTCCAAATGTCGCAGGTGGTCTATCTCAGCAAGATCCTTGGCAATACGTAAGAGTATGAAATAGAACAACTCTTCCATGCTTTATTTTGTTGGGACCTTTGAAAATAGTTGTTATCCAGACCTACATCTTACAAAGGCACTTGCTGAGTCAGCCATATGATGTAGGAAGACTGAGGTTTCCCCAGAGCACTAAAGGTGAATTAGGTGGTACATGGCTAGCCCTCAGAGGCTGCTAGCTTCTAAAAGTATTTGGCTCACGATGTAGTAAGATTCTTGAAGATACGGAACTGATTTTAAGAGCTCAGAAGTGGGGGTAGGTAGCATCACAGAATGGAGATTGGCAGTTACATGTGAAACTGCTTTAGGGTTTTTTCTGCTCTGCTATCTAATTACAATAAAACTGTGTCCTGGAAACACATTTTTTTCTGCTCTCTCCCTGTGACATTACTTTTATTTTACCCTGTGAGTGAAAGGGAGCTAAATACCTTTAGCTATTCCCGTATCTTCTGTTCTGGCCTGGATTGTCTTCACAAAAATTGGGCTTTTTTAGAAGTTCTTTTCTCTGATTCTCTGATTCTTTTTGCCTCAGGGGACTATATAGAAAATAGGGGAAAATGGGATAGAAAGAAATGTAAGCCTCCTTCATCTTTACGGTGCCAAACCCAATTGGGACACCACTGTCTGGGATATTGTTCACTCTTCCTTTTTGTTGTTGTTGTTAAAACAGTAGCTTTAAAAATTGCAGGAAGTGATGGCCTTACAGCTGTCTTTCCAGTGGCTAAGGTTCTTACAAATATGGACATCTGATCAGGGAATCCCAAGTCTTCTGCCACCAGTATAAAGGAGTGACTTTTTAATCAGGACAGGTGCAGACTGGATTAGTTCTGTCTTACACCACCATCATATTGTCAACTCCTGAGTCGGGGGAAAAAACAGCTGGGAGGATCATGCAGGTTACAGTTGTGGAAAGGGAACTTCATGAGGACAGTGGTGACACCCAAGCAGGAAAAGCCTGAGGGGAACATCAGGCCAGCCATAAAACAAAATTGCATAGGAAAAGGAATCAAATAAAAGGTATTAAAAAAGCCCCTTAGACAAAAACCCAAATAATTAAGAAAACTAAGGAAACAAGAAAAAAAAAACCTTACAAACATAAGACATGCCAAATCAGCTAAACAAACAGACAAAAGACACAAAATATATTGCAAAGGAGACAGACAGGAGATTGCCACAAAACAAAAAGAAGAAAACATTAGGAAACTGATAATCCAATCAAACTACCCTGCAAAGTTTGCCTTCTGCACCCCACGGAGTTTACCCTCAGGCGGAAATGAAGACAACCCCTGACAGGATTTAAAACATTAAGAAATACAAACACAAGCACTCACACACAAAAGGAGAAAAAGTATAAAATTCAGGGGTTTATTATACAAAAGGAGCTAGCTCCAGGAACGCAGACTTCTTGCTATCTCTCGCCTTCCTGAAAAATAAAAAAAACCAGCTTCCAAGCAGTTGTCTGAATCCTTGCACTGGAGTGCTCCCAGCAGGAAAACCGAACCCTCAGAAGAAAGGCATTTTCCAGCCTTTCAACACAGTGTTAACAGTACAATAGGTACCTACCTATTAGCCCTGTGAGGTCACCCACACAAGAAACACAACTAGGAATACTACCTCTGTGTTTACTGTAAGGTTACATTAAACAGAATCTTGCAAGCATTTCTCCCCTCCCCTCTTTTTGGTCTCTAGAAAATTGGGGAGGCCCCTTCTGAAATGCTTCCCACGACCCTCTCCGCCTGTGGGCTGAGATACATTTTACATCTCTGCAGCTCTCCCTCCTCTTTCTCAAGGCCATTCTCACATGCCAGTAATATGCTGCAGTGAGATCTAAAGTAAGACTCCACTAAAAGGGCTTCCCCAACTTGGTGTCCTCCAAAGAGCTTGGCCAATGCTGGTTCTGGCAGGAGAATTATGGGTATTGAAATTATGAAAATCTAATTATGAAAGTATGTAGTCTGGCAAAAGATTATTTCCATTATACGCCTTTATCTTGTTCTAAGACAAGATTCTCTTTTAGATTCCCAACATAAATGCTATATTCTCTAAGTTCCAGTGGTAGAATTCAAATTTTTTCACTATTGGTTCTGTGAGCGTGGCTTGGTAGGCGTGGTAGGGGAAGGAGTCTGTAAAATCTCCAGGCAGAGGTAGTATTTGACGGTTCTCCGAACTACTCAAAATTTCTGCTACCGGTTCTCCAGAACCTGTTGAATACCACCTCTGCTAAGTTCATAGGGCTTCTGTGTTTTGCTACTGAATCCACTGATTTTTGTTTCCCCAGGGAAAATCCACAAAAAATATTTGATCTGTTCTTTGAAGTTGCTCGTCCATCACTTGCAGATGGTGGTAAGTCTCCATTCCGTTAGATGGTGGTCTTTGGGGGGAATTTAACAGTAAGTGAAAATAAAATTATATACCTTAGTGTGGGAGATTTATAGTACAGTCTGAGATAGCCCTTGATTACATATGTGGGGTGAAAAGAGCTGGATCAAAATTGAAGCTTTTTTATTTTTTTAAAAAAATCTGCTATTGTATCTTTGTTCTAATTTACAGTATTATCTTCTTCACACATCTTATTACCCTATTATGCAGTTTTGTTTTGTTTTGGCATAGGATGATGTGTAAATCCACCTACTATTATGGTCAATGAAAGTTACTTTTCATGGGGCAAGGAGCCACACTTGCACTGCAGGCAAATACCAGAAGTTGCATAAATAAATTCATTATAGAGGATTAGAAAGCCATCCAAAAAATTTTCTGTCTAACAACACCAAGGAATAATTTATGTCGTTATTTGTATGTATTTATTAAACATACGTTTCTATGTTGCAACAATCAAAATCAATTCTCAGCGCTCATATAAAAAAATGTAAAATGAATCTCATGAAAAATTAAAAATACATTACAAAAATTCAATAAAAGATGGCAACAGCAACTCAAAATCAGGGCAGGCCCTTGAGGGGCTGGGGTGGTGAAGGGTCTTTAGAAACTCGCAGAAAATCAACAAAGAGACAACCAACCTAATCTATCCCTAATATTGGTGCTGCAACAAAAAGCAGCATATCCATGCCTCCTCCCTCCCAGAATCTCCCAAAAGTGTGGGACTTAGAGCAGTTTTTCTAATCAGCAGGCTGAAGTGGGCTGGAGTTAGACCCACAGTTTTAGTCTTGCCTCTCCTTTTCCTACCTTTTCAAGGCAATGGCAATGTGGCTCCTCATTTCCCAGCTTTGAAGGTTTCTACCAGCTGTCTCTTGCCCTTTGATTGGCTTTGGGAGAGTTACAGGGTGGAATTAGTGCCTTAAAGCATGCAGAAGTTCAATCACCCATTTTGCCCCATAAGCCCCCCGCCTCCCCTATGGTAGCCCAGTGGAAGTGCCAACTGTAGTGGAAGTGAATATTTTAGCTGCTTAAGGGAGAAAGAACAGGAGAATGGCAGGAATCAGTGGTAGCCCTAGAATAACTGCTGGCAATTGGTGACTTAATTAAACTGTGTAGTTAGTCACCGCAGGCCAGTCCTTTGCTCTTTCTAGGCCAGCCCTGTGGGCCAGATTTAAGCACCCCGCGGACCACTTTCAGACCATGGGCCTTGAATTTAACACCCCTGTGCTATATTAAAAGCCAGAAGGTTTTTAGTTCTAGGCCTCCCTTGGTCGTAAAAGCCAGCAGGGTCATTTTAGGCCAGGCACATTCTTATATAAATTAAAACACACAACCCAGTTATTAATACACCTAATACTTGAATCAAATTCCCATCAAGGCATAGACTTCCTAAGGCAGCGGCTGGGGAAAGAGCCAGACCTTCAAGGGCCATTTAAAGGGTGATAGGGTGGGGGCAATTTGAATCTCCAAAATGTAGAAATTGCAAGGGAAAACCACAGTCTGGATAACATGGGAAAAAATGGGACCTAGAACTTGCTTTCATTTACAATAAAATGGTTACGCCTGGGTTCTGTATATTGACCTCTGTTCTGTTTTTATGTGCAGATCCTCAAGTGCGTAGACAATTCCCACTGGACTTTGATGACCAGGTCTGCCTCCTTTGTAGTTTCTACATAACACTCCTCTCAAACTTCTTTGCCTTCCAAAACTCAAAACAAACTTATATGCCACTTTGTTCTGCTTCTCCTTCTGTAGTTCTGAAATCCTGTCTTATCATGAATATGCTGAATGCTAATACATGCTGGCTGTTCCTTTTTTTTCCTGCCAGCATGAACAGCTAAACTCTCTGAAGCTCATGACCTCCTCAAAGAGCCAGGTTTTATAAATTAAAAACTTCCCTGATTTGCAATCATGGAATCCTGAATGTGTATCTGTGCACTGTATCTGTGCACTGTGTAAACCTCCTACTTGATAGGATACAGGTCATAAACTTGGAAAATAGCCATTTATATTAGGAAGCTAGCTTGCATAGAATCGTAAGGAACATGCTCAAGGTAAAATTGGAGTTTGGTTGGAATTGTAGCATATATAAATTGGATAAACCTTGAGCTGTTAGCGGAGAATGCTGCCCATGAAATAGGTACAATAAAGATAGCAACTTAGTCATCATCACCTTCTCTATCTTACTAAAAGCCTGATGTAAAACCCTCAATTGACCCAAGCCAAGCTTGGCAGCAAATTCACTGTCAATAGGTTCATATGATGTCAACCAAGGCACTTAGCAAATTAGAATGTAATAGGAGTGAATTAACCAAGTACAGTGATAATAAATGAGATGACAGAAATGAAAAGAGATACATTGTGTGCCTGTGAAACTAAAAGAAAGGGAAAGGACGAAACCTGAGTGAAAGTGGTCAAATCTTAAAGTGGAGTTGGTGAAGATGCAGATTTAATTAGGAAAGAAAGGACTAAAACTGCATGTCAAAAAAAATGAACTGGTGCAATCTAGATTGTTGTGATCGGGTGTAAAGGCAGTTTTAGAGAATGGTGAAAACAGAGGAACTAGAGAAGAGATATTGGGGACTTTATCCAACACTCTCAATGAAAGATGCAAAAAAGTAGTTGCGCTATTTGGGATCCAAGAATCAATGAGAATAGAGATTACTTGGAATGTGCTTAAAAAGGGATTTTTTTTACATGGCTTAAGTGTCAGTCTGGTCATACGAGCATATGCCAAAGCAGTTCGATTAAATCTAAACAATTAATTGACTTGATTGTTTATGATGAAATCTTGAGAGATTAGTGAAGGATACAAGGGTGACAAGAGGTTCTGGAATGAGATGAGCAATTCTTTGGCAGTATCAGGAGTGGTTCTTTGAAAAGGAAAAGGAAAGAAACTAGAATAAAAATAGAACAAATGCAGGAAGAAAGATACAAGATTAGTCTCTCAACTGAATGGAATGGAGATGAGAAAAGACGTTGAAACAGAGTGAAACAAATCATGTTACAGACAGACACGTAAGTATTTTGAGTTACAGAAATTGAAAGTATGAAAAAGGATCTTTGTTTGAAAATAAAATTGCTGTGGATACAGAGGAAAATACACATAGGAAAATGGTTGCTACCAAAATCAATTTGGAAGTCAGTAAAAAGGACTGAATATGGTAACAAGCCACAAGCAATTATTAGAATTGAAAATAAAAGTGATGAAATTGTTTAGGATGAAGTGAAGAGATGTTGAAAGGGGTCCTTTAGAAATTAGTATGGGAATAATTAATTTCTACAAGAATTACAATGACATGTGAGTCTTCCGGTTTGAACTTCTTCGGCAACAGACAGAAATCCGTGATCGTGCGCAGTTTCGGTCTGGGCTCGCCGCTGGAGCGCCCCGAGCCAGCTGGTTTCGGGGCTAAGCCACCTCATAGAGGTGGTGAAGAGGGGGGAGACCGCCAGCAGGGTTGAGGAGAGCCGCATCTCTCCTCCTCAGCTGGCCATTACTCCCTTTCCCGAAGGCGGTTGCAGCGGTGGTCAGAAATGGCCACCTCAAAGAAGAACTCAACCAGAAAAGAATGTGCAGGAGGAAGATAAGAAGTGAAAGTTCTGGCCGACCGGGTTAAATTGCAAAAGCAACAACTAAGGTACCCTGGAATTGAAACTAAAAAAAAATAACATCGTTCCCAAAGAAGATTCTGAAGCAGTGAAGGAAAGTGAAAAGGGAAAGGTTTTTGTTTTTTTTCTTCTCTCCCTTTCCCTATACTGACAACTAAGAGACTTAAATAAGAAATTGGGGGGGAAATCCGCTTTGACATCAACAGGCAAGTAAGCTGAAAATAAAATAAAATGTCAAAGGGATAATAAAGATTTCTGGACACTAAAAAAAAAAATTATAAGCAGGAAAGGAGAGAAAAAGAATAAAAGGGCAGGATCTGGAAAAAAGGGAGGAGACTGCCTGGAATTAAAAGGAATCTACAGTAAAACTTCAACAAGACTTCTGAAAGATACATTTTAACTGAAACTTGGCAACTAAATAGTAGAACCCCAGGAAGAGAAAGTGAAAAAAAAGCAAAAAGAAAGAGCTTGTGTGCATTTGGATTACTTGGTGATCTTTGGATTCTTGGTTATTGCACTTGAATGACTAAAATCAATTGGGTGGTTGTTTAAAAATTTATACAATGGCACTACTTCTGGATGAATTGAAAATGGAACTTAAAAAGTACAAAGAAGATGCACAAGAAGGGAAGGGTTCTTTTGGCTTCGTTTTTCAATTCTTAGAAATGGAGATTTGGAACTATGAGAAACAACAAGAAACGTCTGCAAAACAAGAAGACTGGGACAAAGAAGAAGCCATCTTTAATGAACAAGTAATTTTATGTGGGGAAGAAAAAGGAATGGGGGGGGGAAGAGAATGGAGAATTTAAGACTTAAAAAAACAACCAAAGAAAAGAAAAATAGTTCAAAAATAAATATAATATTGGAAAGCAACAGAAGAGGGGAGTACAGAAGAGAGAAATAGAGGTAGAGAGACAAGGGGGTAAAAAGGGGAGAGAGAAGAAGAGAGGGAAGAAGGAAAGGAAAAGAAGTTACAAAGGACAGAAACAAGATATAGAGAAACAGGGCCTATTTAGAGATAATGAGTAAAAATTTAACTGAAAAAGGGATTCTGTAAAGGTACATAAGAATGAAATTTATTAAGATTTATTAAGATTTTTAAAGATTTATTAAGATTTTAATGAATATTAACATTAATGACATCCATGGGCTGGATGCATCATATGCACCCCAGCTCCACAAAGGCAAAAAATGCTGTGATACGTCATGATATGTCACGAGAGGTGATTGAGTTTGATGCCCGTGCCTAGGCTGTAGTTTGTTCATGACATGCTTGGTTTCTTTGAGATTCTGATTTATCATTGTATATTATGAACCTGCACCCAGAAATTAAACTGACCCAGGGCATTGGCTTTCATAGTTAAATGGGGCCAGAAGACAAGCAGGATGAAGATTCTCAACAATGTTCAAAAACTTGCCTGATATGAGCTCTGTTAAAGATAATAAGAGGATGATCAATTATCATTTCAAATAATGTGTTATGTGTTCAACCAAAAATATATGTTCCTGAAGAATAATCACAAACTTTTGAAACCAGGGTGGTAGAGTAGAATTTTCTTGGTGGCACAGGTGGATCTCATAACAACACAATCCTTATGATTTTTTCCTGAGGGAGGTGCAACTGGCTGATGAGGGCAACCTATAAAATATACAACATTTCTTTGATAAAATCTATAGGAGTAATCTGTGGTATTCAAATAATGTACACTGAATCGAATTTATTACAGTAATTGGGAATTCCTTCCAAGTATTCAGGGATAGGTTTGCATAATGTTCCATATTTTATGCAAGTGGTTTCCTGGTTATGCTTTCTTGTGCTTCTGTGAGACACTGTTGAGACATAATGATCGAAGATATTTCCTTCTTCTTGTAGGAATCAATCCAGATGCTACCCAAGTTTTGCTTCCCTCTTGATATAGAGAGGTAAGCAATGAGAATTTTCCAGTTGATAATGGATATTCACTTTAAAAATATGAAAAAGATGCTCTGTTATGATTTGTTTGTTGAGTTTTTAAATCAGCAACTGTTTTAATAGAGATTTAATGAGCAATCTTCTGCCACCAGAAATTTTTGCTTTGTGATTTCTGCAACCTGGCCACTCTGCTTTTTCTGATATGTAAATACATCACTTGGTCTCTTTGCCTATTTATGCTTCGCTTGATGGTTCCCAAATACATGTGTGAACCAGGGTCAGGATTTAGCAGCCTAGGGCAACAAAAGGTTTGAATGTTGCCTTTACATTCAGCTCTAAATTAACATTGTAGATGGACTCCTGAAAATCAGATGGTGAGATTGAGGAGATAAAGGCAGAATGCTTTAAAAGTGCATAGGCCTTTGCGCTGATAAGATGATCTAGGAACAGAACAGCCCTATTCACCATGCAATAAAATTCTGCTTTGTAAAATGACTTGTCACCCCAAATTATCCACTGACTAACAAAACCAATCATTAGATCAGACCTAGAATCCATAAACTCAATTTACCTGTTGGCCGTATTACAGCTATATTAGTTAAAGATCTGTATACTCAAAAATTCAATTATGCTGATGTGCCCATTAGCTAATAAGGAGCTGTGTAAACCAATGAGTAGATCCATGTGCTCCAAATCCCCATTGATTCAAGGCACATACTACCACCAAATACCCCCAGGATCAGAAAAGCCGGCAGGAGTAGCCTCTGTTTTTATACCCTTTAGCTTGCTTCCATCTGCTGACATGGTTTGCCCTCCTTAGGGCTGGCAGACAGTGACTGGCCTAAAGTCATCCAGATCCATCTAGAACTCACAGCCTTCTGGTTTCTAATCTGATACCTTAAACCCCTGCACCAAACTGTCTTTTTCTATACATTACTAACTCCTTAAACTGGCCCTAATGTGAACCGATCTATATTGAAACAAGCTGCATTTAGGGAGAAACAAAATATTCACAATGTCTTTTTCCTGCATGAATGCGCTGTATGTGTGCTTTAATGCCTTAAATTCTATTGGCAGTATTAACATTAACAATAATGAAAAAGAAGATGTAGTTGTTCTCTGATCTATTGGAAATGTCACTGTTTATCAATAATTCTGTTAAGAGACAGAAATCAGTATCTAATTCAGGCAAAATCACATTACTAAACCAGTGGGAGAGCATTTTAGATTTGGGATAAAAATCTTCATATGATTGCTAAATCACATTAGAAAAATAGAAAATACTCTTAAATTTTGGTACTGGTTATGGTCTTCTAGATTTCCGTAGTCCGGATCAGGTAAATTTAGTCTCCCAAGACCGTTACTGATCTTAGAGCAGTACTTTTTTAAACAGGAACTAAACTAAAATAAGGCCTACTGTGAAGAGAAAGTTTTCATCCAGTGGAAGAGTTTTCCACCTTGCTAACTAGACTGAGCTTTGCCTACTTCCATTCTGCTCTACTGAAAAGAGATAGTTCTCATTAGGACAGATTGTTCAATCACTCCTTGCAGGAAGATATGTCGACACTTTAGAAAGAGTGCTTCCTCTGTCTCTAATGAGTCATTATTCTGGTTTGGAGGCATACTCCCTCCCCAGAACTGACTGTAGAGAAGGGGAAGAAAGAAGAAAGCTCCTCCCAGAGTGGGGAAATGTTCACCTCATAAATAGTTTCCAGTTGAAAGAATGAAGGGAAATCTCCCCTTTCAAGCCAGAGTTGGGGGAAAACTACATTAAAGGATTCAAAGAGAACAGGAGAGTGGAAGTACTGTAGCAAGTAAGGGTTCACTGGTGACTTCCTACAACCAACCTCAATGAAAGCCCATGAACAACCTGGAAGAGAAGAATCCTCACCTGCCAGAAACTAATATTCACTGGCAAGCTGCTTCTACGTAGCGTCACCAAGAATAACCACCACTGATTTTCTTTGAATGCCATTTTAGCCATTCACTCTCAGCTCATCTTCTACCAATTAATTACATAGCAGCTTGGCTCACAAATGGTATGGTCATCTTTTGGGTTATAGTCTAGCAACCCCATGCTCCATGCTATCCTCCCTCTGTAGTTCCCAGAGTTCTCAAACGAATTCATTTGATTGCTTGGGGAATCTTGAGGGATTTTTAAAGGGCAAAATAAGTGTCATAATTTGAAAAGAAAAGGTATCTGTAAAACTTCAGAACCACTACCATCCCAGTCTAGCACACTTTTATCTCTTCTCCATCAATACTTACTGGGTCCATCAATTCAGGAAGAAGTGGAACCACTGCAGAACAATTTCCTCAAATCCCACAGACAGTTCAGACAGATTCCATGATTAGTGGTATTAAACAATGCTCAGAGATCGAATAGGAGAAGAATGGGTAGATCTCCAAATCCCCAAATTCCTCTATAAGTCATCCACAAACACTGCCAAAGTTTTATTTATCCCACTGTGAAAAAAAAACATCTTTTTGTATGTCTTGAATTGTCATTTTTCAAATTTCTTGGTCCTCAGCATTATGGAACATTCTTCCCATTATTCATTTTCTTTACATTGTGCATGATTTTATAAATCTCTAATGAAGGCATGTCCAATCTTTTGGCTAGCCTGGAGCACCCTGAGTGAAGACAAATTGTCTTGGGCCACATATAAAATATATAACACAGTTAATGTATGTAAATTACAAACTCCCTTTATTTTTTAAAATATTTTTTAAAAATCTTGTGGGGCTGCATTACTAGCTGTTCAGGGCCACATGTGACCCACGGGCCATGGGTTGGACATGCCTGCCCAAATATGTTCTGTGTAGGCTTCTCATCTGTATCCGGTTTAGGTGGAAATGCATCTCCTACATGAAGCAGAAATCATGTTTCCACTTCAGCTTTGTTCAGAATTCACCTAAATTTGTAAAAAAACTCAATTGAGCAAAGAAGAGAGTATACGTACTGCTTTTGTTCTCTTCATTCTCCAACCTCCACATGTTCAGCTATAAGTTTAAAAAGGAAGTGGATTCACCTTGGCTTGAATGCAAATGCAGATCTCCATGTGAGCTAGGATTCCATTTACTGGCATTTCCTTGTGGCCAAAGGCAGCAGAAAAACAAATGGTCAGGCCATCAGGGCTACTGGACATGGAAGCTTTACTCCTCCTAAACCCATTGATCCCAGGTTGGGTGCATGCCTGGGATTGTGCAGGAGAGAATTTCACTCACCGCCCCCAACATTCCTATCCCAAACTCTACCATGCTTGTCCCAACCTACTAAACTGGAATTGTCTTTGGCAAAGAGCAACTCTCTCCCTGCTCCCAGTTGGGAAAACCTACATATATGCATGTATGTTTTTCTGTGTGCCTATGTAGATGAAAGGGAGAATGGGGGCACTTATCACTTCTGCATATAATTTACCCATGAATTAAGGAATATAATTAACATAACAAACTAGGCAATACCTACAACTATTTATGCTGTGATAAGTTGATCAGCCTTTGTAGGATGTTGGGTTGCTTTCTTCTCCATCTTAATATCTCTCATTGATACTATTTCCCCATTTATTTCCAAGGGCTAAGGAATGCCCCACAGTCCAGCACTTCACTTTCGCCCTCACCGACATGGAGGGGAAACAGCACTTTGGCTTCTGTCGACTGGCCATCGGCTTCCGAGCCTGCCTGTGTCTACTCAGGTACAAGGGACTCCTCCTGGGTGGGAGGTCTCAAGTAAGTCCCTTCTAGAAGCCCTCTTGAACTACTTGAGCATTGTGGAAATACTCTATTGGCTTGATGGGAAGAAAAGATTCTACTGAAAATGCAGCAATAGAGATACATCAGATCTTTCTTTCCAATCTTCCTCTTGGTAGGGGAAATGGGGTTATTTGTCTTCTGGATAAATCCTGAGGTCACTGGTGCAAAGGTCTCCAGTTCTCTCTTCTGGGTTTTTGGCTGCAAATGAAATATACTTTCTCCTTAGATGGAAAGCACCAGGTGGGTATCAGGCAGAAGGGATTCATTTGCAGACAGTACAAAAAGAAGCATTCCAGAAAATAAGTAATAATGCTAAGAGATTATATTATGATTCCACAATTTTGTCACCTGAAATCTTGGAATTTTGGATGGATGCAATGGCAGTGTTCACACAATACTGTTAACCAAGCAGTTTAATGTTCATGTCAGTATATTTTAAGTTTCATTATCTTAACCTTGGGGCTGGAAGCATGGAAGCTTTAACGTATTGTACAAATCCAGCTCATTTGATTCTCAGAAAATAAATTTAATAAATGGCTTAAGCACACTGAGTAATTGTTAGCTCTCTCTCTCTTTCCCCACTCCACCTTTTGCAGAATTGTGCTGCTTTGAGTGTTTACAAATTCTTTCTCTCTGTAATAAAATTAGCCCATAAGATAGCAATGAGCCTTCGATCTACAGAACCACAAATGAGGAACTTTCAGTTTGAGCTTCTTCAGCGACAGACCGAAAACTCATAATTCAGTGGAATGCTTGTCAATAAATAAATGTAACAAAAGGTATATTTAATGATTTATAAAACATATGTGAAGAGAAACAAGGGAAAAATTAATTATGGAGATTATATGTGTTTTTAAGGAAGTATGATATTTAATTGAAAAGAAGTGTTAAAGATGTTAAGATTTTAATGATTATTAATGATAGAACTGAACTGGAATGGAATGAGGGTTTATAATTACATATATTTACAATCTTTCTTTTTTTTTAAGAATATAGTGTGTATTATAAGAATGTACCAAGCAGAATTTGATTGGAAGTTATGTATTATGCATTATATTGAAGGTCATAAACTTAAGGTATATATTGTAGTTTAAATAAGAGTTAAATGGATGTAAATAAAAGATATAAAGGTGTCATACTCCAATTAGTAACTACAGGAGAAAATTTGTTTAATGAGAAAAGATAATATGAAATTGAAACAGAACAGACAAAAGTATAAATATAAATTTGAATTGAGATGAGATAATCAAAATAAAATTGAGAAAATTAAAAGAGGGGAAAAACTATATAGAAAATGTAAAATAGTATAAGATATGGAATAGAATACAAAAAGGAGCATGAAATTGAGTTTTGTGTCTGTATAAAGAAGTTCAACCCGGGACCATGCTATTTTCAAAAAAGATGTTTTACTTGTATTTTGTATGTGTGAAAACCGAAATAAAACTTCATAAAAAAAAAAAGAACCACAAATGAAATACTTCCTAAAACCATATAGCTTGTCATGGTCAGTAGGGGTTTATGAAGCAGCCTTATACCGAATTGGAATTGATCCTTTGTTTCTCTAACCAGTAGTGACTGTTGAGGACAAGATTACTGTTGAAATCATTGCACTGTTTTGGTTAACGTTATTGTGTGAACACTGCCATTGCATCTGTTGCAACCATTCATCAAGGGTTGATGAATGCAGGAAACAGAAACAGAAAATTGTTTTTCTGCCATCTTGTGGTTGTATTTTTAAAGCATACATATGGTAAATTAAGGATTGGCAACTCAATACCAGCCCCCTTGGTATTTAAATTATAATGTCCATAAACCCCACTCAACCTATCCAATGGTGAGGAGTTATGTGACTTATAAGTCCAAAACACTTTTCTCTACCACCTAAAGAGGCTTTGATCTGAAATGGGCAGAGATCAAACCAGAAAGTGTATGGATATAAGGCATGTATTTATGATAAAAACTATTTTATATACTGCCATTGCTTCTTCCTTCAGTTACTTACCTTGGTTTGAAGTTTTCTACAAGATCCTGAACTACATTGCAGAAAACCTAGCCAAAGAGCAGGTAAGAATAAGCACTTTGTATCCATTCCAAGGTGAGAGATGCCTCCAGAGAGCCTCATTCCCCTTATTGCTCTTCCTAACATTTTCGTTCAACTTCTACCTTTATCTTCCCTGCCAGTTCACAGAGCTGGACGAGTTCTTATCTGCACTGTATTTGTACCCCGTGCCCAGCCTCTGCAGCCCCATCACCCTTGAATTTGTAAGTACCAAACTCACCTTCAAATGTTACTTCCAAGGTGACAATCCAAACAGGGTTGCCATCAGTTTTTAATCGCTTTAAACAGCAGTGTGGGAGTTGCAGCAGTTCAGGAAGTGCAACTACATACACAAGCCAAATGAGGATGGCACCTCAGCAGAAATCAGGGGTGAGTCAGTATATGCATGAGGAAGAAAGGTAGTGTATGTGTTCTGTACGATCCATTAACATACTTGCAAGCGCCGTGCTGTGATTGGTCAGGACTCACGGCAACCTGATTGGCTGAACGAGCCGCACTGATTGGGCCGCCGCGAATCCCCGCGATTGGTGGAAACTAATCGCGGGAGATTCAAAGCGGTGCCATTGGCCGCGGCCGCCGCAGCCAGAGAATAAAAGCCGCCGCTTTTCTTCTGTAGCCCAAGCCGATCTCGGGACTTAATAAAGAGCTGAACTAAGTCACTGACTCCCGAGTCTCCTTTCCCTACGACGGACACGACAGTATGCATACTGAGATTCTAGAATCAGCTGGAAGGAGGAGTTCCACAGCAAGTTTAGGGATTTAATCTTTTCTCTTTGATCCTATGAAAATTGATCCGGGAATGATACTAATGGAGGGAGGTCACTTTCCATTTGGTAAATTTGAAGATTAAATCCTCTTGCCTGTTAATTGTCGTTGTTCCCTTAGCCTACCATTATACTTTTTTAAAAAAAACTTCTGCTTATTAAATGCAAAGATACATTCATCTCTAGAAACCAGGAGGCTGTGAGTTCTAGTCCTGCCTTAAACATGAAAGCTGGCTGGGTGACATTGGGTCAGTCACTGTCTTTCAGCCCAACCCACCTTGCAGGGTTGTTGTTGTGGGGAAAATAGGTAGAGAAAGAACTATTAGATATGTTCACTGGCCTGATTTCTTTATAAAAATAAAGACAGAGTGAAAAAAACTTTTAAGAAATCTCCAGCAGTAAAATAAAATATCCTTTTATAAGCCTGGCACCTTATAAATGTATGCTTCATTATTTACTGCTATTCAACTTTTAAATTTAATTCACTTATTACATTCATACACTGCCTGGAGTCATTGGATAGTGAGATGAGTGGCATATAAATTAGATGATAGATGATAGATAGATAGATAGATAGATAGATAGATAGATAGATAGATAGATAGATAGATAGAGATGGTGGGTGGGTGGGCAGGGAGACAGACAGACAATACAGGCTGCATTTAAAAAGTGAGAACAAGTCAAGCACACTTGGAGAAAAAAAAAGAACACTACAAAGGCTAATAGTAGCATCATGGCAAATTATATTTTTTCACATTGCTGGTTTATTTACTCCAATTTTCTGTCTACAGATGTCTAGTTTTTGTTTTGAACATGCACATTTGGAACATTAGGTGATTCTTTTTTGTCCAGTAGAAGCAGGAGGGTTTCCTTTGCTGGTCCCTGTAGCGTTTCACTCATTTTCCAGACAATTTCTGAGACCAATCTTATCAAGAAACTAATCTAACAGTTTCACAATTCCTTCTAGTTCAGTTTTCTCTGCTTTTATAAGAGCATTGCATCTTTGTCTAGCAGTAAAAATGGATACTTTCACAACACAGAAAAAACATTCCTTATAATAGTCTGTAGAAAAGACCCTCCACAAAGGCAGTCAGAGATAAAATTTCTCGCACCCATTGAAGTTTGAGAATGAAACGTTGTAAGAGTGATGGGATACAACACCTGAGTAGTTTTACTCTGGTCCAGATAGGAAGGGTGTTTCTGTTTTAAACTATTTAGCTTTTGAAAAAGATCTCGGAATTGATTGCAGATAGAATATAAACCACTAGTATGATTTGGCTGCAAAAAAAGAGGTAAGAATAAGTTAATGCTCTTTTAAGAAAAATATCATTTCCCTATCAAGGGAGTGATTTTTCACTGGTCAGTCGTCAAGTATTATGTCTAGTTGTGGACTCCATCCTAAATTAGTAAGTAAATAAGTAAGCAAGTAAGTTAATAGGTAAGTAAATAAATAACATGGCTTCTACACATTAGGAAGGATCCATTCAAACCGGAATTGGTTTGGTGGAGTGCAATAAGAATAATCAAGGGGTAGGAAATCAAGTACTAGGAAGAAAAATGGAAGGAACTGGGAAAACTTGATGTGAGGAAGACTGAGAAGAGTAATGCTAGTATGCTTAAAAAAAATCTGAAAGTCTATCACGCAGAATATGTTTGCCGTTGTTCGCTTGCCATTGTTTCTGAGTGCAGGACATGAAGCAATAGATTCCAGTTATAGAAAAGTGGGTGCTGAATGCATGTTAGGAAAAGGTTTGTAACAATGAGAGACGTAGTAACTAAATAGCTCCTTCTGTGATCTCCATTTACTAATTGCCTCTAGCTCAGAATACTAATCCCATCTTTTCTTCATTTTCAATCACTTTTTGTTCTGTAAGGACTCAAAAGCAACTAAATTGAAAATTTCTACTGAGACAGATCTGAACAGGCAAAAGAGAAATAGAGATTTGGATACTGGAACAGCATTGGTAAGTCACAATCTGATATCTGCTATGGTCTTACTTGTGTTTCCTTTGTTTATGGGAATTATGTCACTGTTGCTGTGAAGGAATAACTGCGACCTCCAGGTATGTGCAGAATTGGCTTTACCAGTTGAAGTTGCATGTGAAAGAAATCTTATTCCCATTTTTAAGACTTACTACAATAAACGTTTGTGAATGAAAATGAGGAACAAAATGAGGAAGATTCTAACTCAATTCCAGAAGTTACATTGCCACTCCTCCAGCTACTTTTGTTTTTTTATTTGCATTTTTAGCATAACAGGTTCTTTTAAAAATGAGCCTAACTCAGTTTCCAGATGCCATTGAATTAAACTGCCCTGCTTTCTAACAGGAAAGCCTCTTGAGTTATGGGAGTTACATTCCAAAACATCTGGAGACCATCCAGTGGGGGAGGTACCAGCTTGTCCTCATCCCATTCTGTTGTATGCATGGAGTGTACCTAGAACTGTTTCTGCTTTCTATTCAGAAGGATCAAATGCTGCCTCTGAGGCCCAGGAGCACATTTAATTATGGGTGGGCAACACACTTTATGGCCTGCATGAGAGACAGCCCATAACTGTATAGGCTGTATCTTATGCAGGCCAGAAGGTGTTGCCCACCCATAATGTAGTATGCTCTTGTGTTGATGACCTCAAGGAAATGGAGTAAAAAAATATAGTTCAGGTTTTTTTAAGTGCTTACTTAATTTGCAAAATGTTATTAAGTGTGTTAGGGATAACATTGTTTACCCTAACTGGTTTGGGTAAAAATAATAAATATGGTATCATGGTTTGTTAGTTAAAGTGTGTGTAACTTTAACAGCAAGAATGTAATTAAGGGTGTGGTTGTAAAAGCACTATATAAGAAGCGAGGCAATTGCAGCTCTCTCTCTCTGGCTTACTGATCCCTAATTACTTGATGGATTGATGACTGCGTTCTTGCTGGAACGGGGAGAGAACAAGGAGTGTTGATATTTCTCAACAGAGAAGATAAAGATTGGACAGATTTATTGTAAGTGAACTGACATTGGCTATTCAACACGGACTTTGCAAATAGAGTATCCCCGACAAGTCTTGACTGAAATTGATATATGACTAATGGACCATTTAATTTGACTATGCTATAATCCTTAAATGGAATAAACTATATTTTTGATAGCACAAGCGTATCTGTATTTTTACTGCGTGTTAACTAGAAAACTTATCTCACACATTTACCTGTCTTCCTATCTGACTTCGCTGCACATTCTGTTTAGTTTGTTTTCCTTAACACCCGTTGGGGAATCCAGGCTTAACAAAGTGTATAAAGCAATTCATTTCCAGTAATGTGACTCTGGGTGGTGCAAGTATAGAACAACAAAAAAGAAACAATAACTCCTCTGCTGTAAAAGAAGGAATGTGGGGCAAGCAGATGTTCTTGGGAGAAGATAGACCCACAAGTAATCCATGCCTGTGTCATATAGAAAGTGATAACCAGCCCATTGAATCACATCCAGCCTGTTGGAAGCCGCTGCAGTTCACAGAGCAGCATTGCCACATGGACTTAATGAGACAGATTCATTTGCAATGTTGTGTTTTGGTCCAACTGAAGCTTCTGGGTGGTCTTCAAGGACAACCCCATGTAGAGCATGCTGCAATAGTCCAAATGGGTGCCTTTTGTGTTATCTTTATCTTTACTTTTTTTTAACTTCAAAACGATGCTGCTGAGAATTAGCTTCACCAACAAATAGCAATAGCACTTAGACTTATATACTGCTTTATAGTGCTTTACAGCCCTCTCAAAGCAGTTTACAGAGTCAGCCTATTGCCCCCAACAATCTGGCTCCTCTTTTTACCCACCTCGGAAGGATGAAAGGCTGAATCAACCTTGAGCCTGGTGGGATTCAATCTGCCAAATTGCAGTAGGAGTAGCTTGCAGTACTGCACTCTAACCACTGTACCTCCATATGATGGCAGGGTGACTTCAGAATGCTCTTTGGGTCTGGGGTGGTTTATGGGCTGCAAATCACTGTCCCTTGTGTTACATTAAAATCCATAATTGGTTTCCATAGGTTTATGATTTAATAAGTGTAGTTTTGGGCAAAGGTAATCTGATTGATTGCTAATTTTATTGGACAGCAACTATTTCCTCAATCAAAATTATGAGGTACAATTTAGGAATGAGGGGGAAATATGCCTGCAATTTCTTGTTCTTTGGAGATCTAGGAAGAAAAATTAAATTGGAAAAATAATGTACAATAAATAGAAGAAAATTTCAAATATACCACTCCTTATGAAGTTTTTCTAATTAAGTTGCAATATCCCATGTCTCCATTTTATTAGAAATGAATATTGTAAGATCAGTCACAAATATTGTGGTATAATGTAGCATGCAGCCTTCATTGGATTCCTTCTATTTACAATCTGATAGATTGTTATTTGCATTAAGCGATACCACTATTACCACCTCTCTGGTTCTGCATATGGCTACCCAGAGTCTTCTGGAGCAGGCAGTCATTACATTGCAAATGTAAAAGATTAAATTAAACTAATTAATTATTTCTCTGTTCTAGGCTTATTTCATTGCCCCTGATCCTGGCAAACTGCCCACCATCCCTGACAATGTAAGTTATAACATTGCTGTCACTTAATATAATACCTTGCTTGTATGGACAATTTTATTCTGTAAGCCAGAAGCCCTCCCCCTCTTGAAAGATCCATAATCACAAATCTGCAGGGCTGAATGTGATTATAGTGTGGAAGTCACTGCACATGTTTCTCTGTACTATTTTTTAATTGCATTTTGGGTGCTTTCTCACTTTAGGAAATTCTGGGAGTTGAAGTCTATCCATCTTCAAGCAGGCTGGCTGGTTGGGGGAATTCTGGGAGTTAAAGTCCATGGTTAAAACCACTTTCCTTTGCGATGGTGGTTTGGGGGAATGTTCTGTTTTGTTCTTCTGCAGAAGTAATTGCATAAGGCGAATCACTGTAAATGCAGCGAACTTGTTCCTCCAGTCCAAGCCAATTCAAGATGGTGCTTTCTGGCTGCTGGTGGTGTTTTGTTTTTTTTTAAAGTATTCAACTGGTTTGTCGAGAGGAGATGGGAGCAGCAGGCAAGTAGGCTCTCTGCTTAACTAAGATTAAATTAACCTATTCTAATTATTACCTGCTTTTAAGGCTATTTTTCTATCATATCTTAGTTTTCAAATTTTTATTTTTAAACCCTTTACATTTTTGAAATGTTTGCAGTGTGATCCACTTTTAGTTATATTTCAGCTATGGTTTAGCTGAATTTATAAAAAAAGCCCGAGCTGGGCCTCAGCTGTAGGAGGGCCTTGCTGCTGCTTCTTTGTTGTTGTTGTTCTAAAGATCTTACTCCTTTAGCTGGAAGTCTAGCAATGCCTAGCTTTGATCTGATTTATTCTATTTTTATCCAGTATTTTTATTATTTTATCATTTTTATTCACTCATGTTCCCTGCTCTGTCGGGAGGGCAGGATCCTTGGTATACTTGTGATGAGCTCTGCCATTGATTGCATTAGGACTCGTTTCTTCTTGACTCCCAATTCCTTTCCCTCTGGATTTAGGACTTGTTTCAGTGACTAGACTCTATGCTATATTACACAGCTCCCCCTCTATTGTGCTACTTAATATAATGAAGACAAGGAAAAGGAGCAGATCTCTCACTGACCCGGTTCATCAACCTTCTCTGAAGCAATCCAAGATTGAGGACTTTGTTTTAACTCGGCCTCTCGGTTTGAAAGCTCCTGCTCCCTTTTGTCTGGCTGCTGCCAGTTGTCGCGATCTTCCGACGGTTGAGGGCATCGCCCCTGAGTTGAGAACAAAGGCTTATCTAAAACTACGGCCCCCAACCAATCCTTAAATGAGCCCACCCTTACAGAACTTTTGGCTCAGCAATGTTTCTTGGTCTCAGAAACTACAGCGAGCATTCAGCTCCAGCTCGATAAAATATTAAGTACTTTAAACTACTTAGTTTCCTGGACTACCAGTGGGAGCCCTGGGTTGACCGCTCGGCAGCCTGATGCGACGGCAGGGTTCTCCCTGCCAAGCCTCAGCAAAAGCACTGGCCAATGTAATCCTACCAATAGTTCGAACTTTACATCTTTTGACGCAAACAGTTACCTGGTCTTACAGTCAAAACAGGTGGCCCTCAACATTAATCCCATTAATGGCAACTTACCTCACTGGGGTTCAACACAGCTGGCGAGGGGCCATATATTACAGTTATTGGGGCTAAAAGCTGATGATTTGAAGAAGGTTGAACTTTTACCCTCTCCTGAATACTGGACTAGAGTGCTACTCAGTTTTGACAACTCCAACACCCCAAAACTATTTTTCAGAAGAGGATTCCTGTTAAGAACCTTCGGCATTCTGCCGAGACGAGTCTTCAAAGATATGTCGATTAAGCCACTCTTGAGTAATCGACAATTTGTGAGTGGCAGGAGATTTATTGCCCCCAAAAGATCCTCAGCAGCACATGTTAATGTGCCAACCTTGAATGCCATCTCGGATACTACATCACGTACTAATTATACACCTATTCCCGCAAAACCTCCAGTTGGCGTCCTCCCAGATGGTACCCTGACTGTTCTTCCTACAACCGGTCAAATCAACCCCCCGCAGTGAGTAACATCTTATCAGGAAGCTTCCCTTGATTTGATCAGCTGGGAAGAAATGGCCCCAAAGGAAGTGACACCAGCCCAGGGCACCCATGGTTCCTTAGTAAATAAGCTCCAGGTCAGTGCCTCTGGGATTCCATCTATTTATGAAACTGACTTATGTCAAGGCAATTTCTGGAACCAGGAGGAGACACAGCTCTTTGATTCCTTTTGTGCGCTTCCACAATCAGAAAGGGCCCAGATCATAAAGCGTTTGGATGCAGTCAAATCCAAGCTCTGGAGTCTTTCACTACCTGATAAGGATTCCCTTGGACTCCAGGGAGTCTATACTGATTTACCAACGGAAGCTCTCTTGGCGCTCTCTCCAGAATGTCTAATTCGTAAATTTGAAGATCCAGGGCTACTTCAAACTCCGTCTGTTGATGCTGCTAAATACTTGCCAGCTAAGCAACCAATTAATGCCACAAGTATGAACTGGAGTGCACTTAGAGCCCTACAGACCCATTAACAAGGCTTGCCTTCCCTCCCTCCTTCCCTGCCTTTGCCTCCTAAGAGGATGACCCTGCCACTTAACAACGGGTGTATCTTTTCGGATCCAAAGGGAGCTCTGGGAAAAATTAATCACACAGAATGACTATTAAATCTGCCAAACCCCCCCCCCCTGCACACTTAAGTGCCTTTCATGGAACATAGCAGGCTGGAGGAGAAGGTGTGGTACCACAGAATTTGCCAACTATATTCACTCATTTGATGTGGTCCTGCTTCAGGAGACCTGGGCATGTGATAAGATATCCCTTACAGGGTTTACGGTCATTTCCTTGGCCGCCACCAGACAATCTACGACAGGAAGGCCTAAGGGTGGTTTAGCTTGCTTGGTCTCTACTTCTTTGAAAGTGGAGACAGTGGAGCTGCCCCCCTGTGGCTCTTTAGCTATGGCGCTCCTAATTAAGAGAGGACGCAGCAAACTGTTAGTGTTCAACGTTTATCTTCCCCCGACAATGAGGCAAGCTGATACTAAGACTCAATGGGGCGTGCTGGAGAATTACATTACTTGTATGGAAACTAAATTCCCAGCGCTGTACATCCTTATAGGGGGTGACTTTAATGCCCGATTGGGAGGCCAAGTTCCCCCATCGATTGAGGCACTCTACTCCCAAGAAACCCTCCAGGCCATAGGACACCTGATTTCAGCCAGACATTCTAAGGATGAATTAACAAATTTTGCTGGCATTCAGTTAGCCCTTTTAGCAGCCCAACACAATAAGATAATTCTTAATGGGAGTGCCCTAGGTGATCTAGTTGGTGAGTTTACTTTTAGTTCCTCATGTGGGAGTAGTGTTATTGATTTTGTGCTGGTATCCCAGCTTCTTAGAAAGGCAGTCCGTGCTTTCTATGTGGACTGCCTTACGGAGAGCGACCACTACCCCCTGGTTACAATCATTGGGCTTTCCTCAAATATACATCTCCCTAGGGGTCCCTATGTGGCCTTCTAATACTGAAAGAAAGTTCCACTCCTTTTTATCATCTCCAGAGTGTCTCAGCCTATACAATCAGGCCCAATCTCGGCCTTTGAATCACTTATTAATAGTGTTCAAAGGGAGCTAGGAGCCGTCCATAGGCTGAGAGGTCCATATCATTCAAGAAGTAATTCTTGGTTTGACAAAAATTGTCTGATGCTCAGGAACCAGATTAATTGGGTTTACCTGCTCTATCGTAATCGAGGGGATAAATGCCCACCAGAGGACTACTATCGCTTGAAGCGGGAGTATAAAGGACTAATTGCTAAGAAAAAGAAAGCTAAAGAGAGAGAGAAGTGGGATCTACTTCACCTCTCCATCCAGCAGAAGAACACTCGATTATTTTGGCAAATTGTTGCCAGCTCCTTGCCGGGTCATCAAGAACTCCCCCTCTGCTGTATTTCCAACAGAGATTGGGAAAACCATTTCTTGGCAATTTTCCAGGCATCAACAAGTTCAACTGTGCTTGGGCCACAGCTGCCTCCTGCAGTTCCTGACTGGCAACCCGTGACTCATGCTGAGATTATCGAGTTTATCTCCGAACTCAAGTCAGGCAAAGCCCCTGGCCCTGATGCTATACCCCCTGATTTGCTAAAATCCAATCCCGAGTGGTGGATTCCTCTCTTAGCAAGACTCTTTACTCATATCAATACCTCTGGCAGGATCCCTATCTCCTGGAGCTTAGCAATTATTGATCCAGTTTTTAAATGAGGAAATAGGAACAACCCAGCCGACTATCACCCCATAAGCCTGCTCTCCATCATTGGGAAACTGTACGCTAAATATCTCCAACGTAGACTCCTCACTTGGATTGAGGAGTCTAATATTATTGGTGCTGAACAGATTGGGTTTAAAGCGGGCTGTGCCACACTGGACCACTGCTTTGTCTTAGCACACCTGGTCGATAAATATACTATCATACCAGGTGGCAAACTTTTTACTGCTTTTATCGACCTAAAGTCAGTATTTGACTCAGTCCCTAGAAGATTGTTGTGGTCAAAACTGCTCAAAAGTTATATCGATGGACGTCTTCTGTTCCTAATTAGATCCTTGTACAACCAGACCTCTAGTCAGGTCAGGTGTGGTTTGCAGGGAGAACTTTCAAATCCTATCCCGATTAAGAACGGAGTAAGGCAGGGTTGTGTTCTGGCTCCTCTTTTCTTTAATTTATTCTAATCTGACTTGGCCTCTCACATTGGACGTGTTGAGTCCCACGCCCCAAAGTTGTCAACTACAAAGATCCCGCTTCTCCTTTATGCTGACGATGCAGCCCTCCTTTCATTGTCAAGGCCAGGTCTGAAAAGATTACTTTCTGCATTTGGGTCTTACTTTGCTGAGAACCACTTGTCCATTAATTATGTTAATTCCAAAGTATTGGTGTTCTCTAGAGCCTGGAAATTGTATAACTGGGCTATCAATGGTAATGCTGTTAAGCAGGTTTTCCATTTTAAGTATTCAGTTCAATTTCAGAACACCGGTGCTTGGACTAGACATTGAACCCAGGTGCTGAATTCGGCCTCCTGTAGTCACCAGCAGATTTTAAGATTTTTTTTTTATACCCAAGGAGGCCAGTTTATTCCTTCTGCTCTGCGTATTTACAAAGCCAAAACTTTGGCTCAAACTCTTTACGGAATTCCCATATGGATACGGGGCTTTAAGGATTGTATTGAAAGAATCCAGGCTGTCTTTCTTAGAAAACTTCTGGGTCTTCCTCCTTGTGTTGGTTTTGCTCCGATGTACCTGGAACTGGGCACTCGATCAGTCAAATGTATGGCATGGATTAACACCTTTAAATGGTGGTTTTGGGTGCTCTTTCTGGCAGTTCCTGGTCGCTACCTCTTCCTGGCATTTGTTGACTCTCATATTTCTCATTGGGAGAGGGAGCTGATGAAGAAATTACACCTGCTAGGTTTTACGGGGGATGCCCTGGGAGATTATGGCCTTAAGGACGCCCAATTTAGGGTAGTCCAACGGCTTGTCGCCATTGACTTGCAATATCTATAAGCCAGAGCTAACAAAACTTGCTCCCCTCTGATCTTCAGCCAATTTAATAATTACGGACTGAGGATGGCTTCTTATTTTTACACTCTAACCATTCCCAAGTATAGAAGAGCTTTCTCCCTAGCTCGCTTTAATGTCTTGCCCTCAGCACTACTGGATGGGCGATTTAAGAGACTCCCAATTAACGAGCGGCTATGCCCCTGTGACAGAGCTGAGGTTGAAACTGTGGAGCATGTCCTTTTATATTGCCCTATGTATAATGCAGGCAGATCTAAGTTACTGTCTCTCCTTGAAACAGACCCTTCTAGACCCAATGTTAATAATTTGTTCTTATATTGTCTAGGGTATGGCTCCTCATACATCACTTCTCAGATTTCCAATTTTTTTTTAAGAGCTGTAACCATCAGAGGAGAACGCTGTAATTCCCTTTAGTCAAGTTTTTGGTGACTAATTTCATGACTAATTTTCCCATGTTCTTCTTTTGTTGTACTTGTGTTTTGGTCTGTGACCGCAAATAAAGTATTATGATTATTAATTGCATTTCAAAGTTAAGGTCTGGCATTAAAAATAGATTCTGAAAGTCAGTTAAAAGCCACCACTAAAAGTGGTGAAGAAGAGAAGATTCACTGAGTTGCTGTGGGTGAAATGGAGGCTAGAGGGAGATCTGGTTGCTGAAGCAGTTTCCAGAGAACCTAACTAAGTATTGGCTCTCCCCAGAGAAATCTGACCGAGTTTGTTGTGGCAGTGGATGCGAATAACATGCTGCACCTCTACGCAAGCCTCCTCCATGAGCGTCGGATCCTGCTCACCAGCAGCAAGCTCAGCACGGTGAGGCCAAGCGGCTGGAGGAAAGACAAGGCCCAGAGCTAAGCTGGACCTGGGTGGGAAGGATTTAGAAATGACCATCGTTAAGGAATCTGCATTTCTTTCTTTTACATAATAAAAAGTGTTCTCACCTGTCACAAAGCTCTCACAAAGGTGGCTCCTCTGATCTGATATCTTGTGATATGGTTTGTCAATTAATTGTATTCCCTGGCCCTCCTCCACATATTCAGTGAAGGTGTAAGCAGAGAACTGGAACATATCCACTGATTGTGAGCCTTGGTGGCTGCACCAGTGGTGGGATTCAACTTATTTTACTACCGGTTCTGTGGGCATGGCTTGGTGGGCGTGGCAGGGGAAGGATACTGTAAAAGCTCCAGTCAGAGGTGGGATTTGCCGGTTCTCCAAACTACTCAAAATTTTCACTACTGGTTCTTCAGAACTGGTCAGAACCTGCTGAATTCCACCTCTGGACTGCACAGTATCAGTTTATCCTGATATCCTCATAGGGCCTTTTACTCCCTAATGCCCAAAGCAGGTCTGACAGGAAACAAGGCAGTTTAGCACGTGGAGAGAGTAAGCTGCAGAGACAAACCTGCTCCCTCCCCCTCCATGTTTACTATCCCTACATGAGTAGTGACTAGGAGGCTGCTGATTCGAATCTCAGCTGCTACTCTTTAAATCCTCTGCATATCAGGAAGGAAAGTATTGCTCGCATGTCACTTTGGGAAGAAGAGTTACGCAAAGCCCTGTCTCCTTATTCAATGTCCAAGGAGGGTCAGTCTACTCTAATGAAAGGTGTGTCTCCTCATCTCCCTATAGCTGACAGCCTGTGTCCAGGCCTCCTCCTCTCTGTTGTATCCCATGTACTGGCAGCACATCTTTATCCCTGCACTGCCTCCACACCTCCTTGACTACTGCTGGTAAGTAACTGCACCTTCCTCAGTTGAGAGTCAGCTTCTGCAGGCTGAGCAGCTTCAATGGTTCCCCACCGAGGACATTGGTTTTGATGTTGTTTATCACCCAAAGGAGACTATTTTGAGGACATTTGTATGGCTAGCTTGTAGTTCTTGGGTTTATTCATAGTCAGTGAGGAGGTGACTGAAGAATATATGTGAGGAGTCTGTCTTCTGTGGTGGTATCATCTGTTCTGAGCTGGCCACATTTTGTTTACATCTCAAGGGAAGACTTTGTGTGAAGGGAAGAAAGACTTCATGTGCTGAAAGATCTGCACCGAAAAGGAATTCAGCCCTTTCTTTGTCCCCCTGCAAGTTCCTGGCCTTCTCAAATATATTTTCCTCCTGAGCATTTCTGAAAAGAAGGAAGAAAACTGGGACTGGAAAACTATCATAGTGTATTATAAGAGAAAAACTGGATCTAGGAGGGCCTAGCCTGCTAGGAGCCCACAAATAACTGGTGCTAGCTCTAACATTGATCTCTTTCACCAACAGTGCCCCCATGCCCTATCTCATTGGAGTCCACACAAGCCTCATGGAGGTGAGACTGCAAAACTACCTTGTCCTTAGGATAACTGGCCTAAGATTAGCCTAGGTAAGGTTGCTCTGTGGGTATTTTTTAGCAGCGGTTGGAGCAGCATTTGTACACTTTGGGTCTTATTTACTTCTTCATTTCTGTCATCTTTGTAATAGCAGTTGGCTCTTATCTTCTGCTACCTAAAAGTAAGAAGATGGAGGAGATTTCTACTCTTCTTGTTTCTCAATTCTGCCTTGGCTTTCTCTAGAGTGTGAGGAGCAAAGCTCTGGAAGACGTCGTCATTCTCAGCATTGATAACAATACAATAGAATCACCCTTCCAAGACCTGGAAAATCTCCCAAGTGATGTTGTTAGTATTACTTTCTTGAAACTTTTTTTTTTAAAAAAATGCCATTGTTTTAGAATCCTAATGACAACTCAGACCCTTCTTTTATTTTTCTCTACATAAGAAGATCTGTCCTCCTTGTGAGCATTCTTGTTTGTCCTGATACAACAATTTAAATGTGAACTTTAATTTCAAATGTTTCATTTTCATTTTAAATTAATGAAAGCATTTATGAATGACCCAGTGTACACACATTTCTTCCCCCTTCCTGAAAACAACACTGGAATAATTAGAACACTTCCCAACTGAAACATTTGAAGTGTTTTGTTTTTATTGTTGTAAAACTAGCTAGTTTACAATTAGGAAAAATTGAGCTGGTGTCAACCTAAGGCAAGGTTTACAAGTTAGGACTTAAATTACAGTATTATACCTTTGCTGCAAACATCTGGAAGAGTTAGAGTTCTGTATTCTTTTGCTGTCATCTAGTGGACACAAAGTGTTTTACTTTGCCCAGATCTGGTATCATTAAGGTCCTAATTCTCAATCTTTAAGATTTAGTACACTTACACCGAATCTTTCCCCCAAGTGCTTAAAATGATGCCCAGGACTATGTTTACAACTAGTCCCATGTGGTAGGCTGGGCTGAAGTGGAGTAGCTTATCCAAAATTACCCAACAAACATCATGACTGAACCCAATCTGACACATTTAACTTATACTATATTGGTATGGATCAATAATAATAATAATAATAATAATAATAATAATAATAATAATAATAATAATAATAATAATAATGGAACAGGTCTTGACACATAGGACAGGATACTGCTCTGGTGACACATGGAGCATTGTGTAGAACTGTGATTGTGTTAGCAATGACATCTTAGCACACGTAGACCAAACCATTGTCCATTATAAGCCATTCTTTCTAGCATAGCGTTGCTTATGAACTGGACTACAATGGTTTAGACACCAGGTTATAGCTAAAACAAACCATTGTTTAATACAAATGTGTAAACCCAGTCAGTATCTGGAAAGGCCTCTGGGTTTAAGGTGAGTATATATATTCTTCTCTTTTCTCTGTCTCCAGGTCTCCCTGCTGAAGTTCCAGCTGAAAAAACAATCTGCAACCACTGGGGATGGAGTGGCCCGAGCCTTCCTCAGGGCCCAAGCACTTCTCTTTGGCAGCTATCGTGAGGGACTCCTTTGCAGTCTGGTGAGGCTTCTGTTCATTCAGCCGCCCGCTGGACGAGGAAGTTTATTTATTTTATTTTATTTATTTATTTGATTTGCCAATTGTTTACAAGATAATAAGTATAAGTGTATACATAGTTGTGAATACATGAAATGGGTACATATAAGAAAAATAAAAGAAGAATAAGAGAAACAATAGGACAGGGACGGTAGGCACGTTGGTGCGCTTATGCTCGCCCCCTACAGGCCTCTTAGGAAAGGGGTGAGGTCAATAGTAGACAGTCTAAGGTTAAAGTTTTTGGGGTTTGGGGAAGAAACTACAGAGTCAGGTAGAGTATTCCAGACATTGACCACTCTGTTGCTGAAGTCGTATAAGTTCTACACAGTTCCCTTTTCTTCCACAGAAACTTTGGAGATTTGGAAAAAAGGAGAGACATAAGAAAGAAAAATACCCTTCCCTCCGTCTCCCCCTCCCCACTCCCAATTTTCTGGTGGATTTACAACATGAAATAAATCAAAACACATTAAGTAAGAATCATCCATAAAAAAAATAAAAATTATAGGTAAACCCAGATTGACTCAGCCTTCCACCTTCCAAGGTGGATAAAATGAGGACTCAAATTGCTGAGGGGCAATGTGCTGACTCTGTAAACCGCTTAGAGAGGGCTGTAAAGCACTGTAAAGTGGCATATAAGTCTAAGTACTATTGTTATTGCTAAACAAATTTGGGGCTGGCCATTTTTGTTTGCTTTTTGTTTAAGCCTCCAAGCTCTTTAGGGGTGATGTCAGTATGGTAACTTCACAGGTGCAGGAGACTAGATTTTTATTTTTATTTATTAAGAAAATTTATGTGGCTGCCCAGCTCAGTCATGGTGACACTTACAGAAATAAAGTCACAAATAAAAACACCCAATAGACCTCCCCACCAACACCCCTCCTGGTGGCAACAATCAACATGTTAAGTAGATTTTAAGCTTTGCCACAAGTAAATTAGTTTGCCAGGGAGGGAGGTTGTTACTGAAAAAAAATCCTGCTTAATAAAGATTGGTTGGGTAGTCTGTCCCAGGCATGTTTTTCATACTTTGTGAAATACTAAAGGGAAGGATGTTCATATAAATGAGCCTTTAAAAAATCCGAAACCTTATCTCATGCAACGGTGCCTTTTTATTATTTTGTTTAAAAGGTTTTTAAACATGAAAAAAAAACCATACTTAATTCTAGAACGGAGACAAGTTTTCAGTGAAGAAAATCAGTATCTGGTCAGACACAGAAACGACAGCGCCACTGCAAACATCATTCGGGTTACCTATCCCTTTCTAGAATTACTTTGATGCTGCTGGACAGAGAGAAACTCCTTAGGATCTGGGATTGTGAGTGAATGCCATTGTTTGGGATAGATCCGTAAAGAAATTCTCAAAGCAAACAGGTTGTGTGATTTCTACTGTTGTGTTCATTATCCAGAAGGATATTCCAGGGAGGTTCCTCTTTCTCCCCAGCTCTAACTTTCTCTACCACACTTTCTTTTTTCAGCCACCTTAGCCCAGTCTCTGCCCATCCGCCCTGGTCACACACTCACTGTCAATCACCTCTCTCTTCCCTGTCCCTCTTTCTCACAGGAAAAGCACATTTCCTTTTCCCAGGAGAACTTCCTACAGCAGGGATCCGGTGCCATGCAGGACTTCCTCCAGCAGGCCGTCCATCTGCAGCTGTTCAAGGAGGTACACAATGGCGAACCTGGTGGATTCCCAGTTAGTGCTTCAAGCAAAACCTGGGGGGAGGCAGAAAATCTATCATGTGTTCCACCCGCAAAGCAAAAACCTTCGCAAGCCAACATCCAGGCAAATACAGAAAACATTCAGCCACATACGGGCTCCTGAGTAATGCAAACGAAGAGCCTAAAAATTCTATACAAATCGATGAAGTCCGTTACTAGAATATTTAATCCACTCAAATTTCTGCTGTATTGGGATGGAAGGCAGAATTGAAAGATAATATAAAAAGAAGTGGATTTTTTGTTCTTAAGCCTTTTGAGAATTCAAAATCTCCTTAAAATTACTTCCTTGTCATATTTCCACATCTCAGAGCAGGAGGAGAACATAATGTTTCTCTGCATACTAATCCCACAGCTGAACAACTGAAATATTTTGTTTCAATAGAAGATGGCTCTTTCCTATTTATTCTAATAAGGTCCTTCTTTCTATTTCTGCCCAATCTTGCAATGCTATCAGTTCATCAATGACCGTCTGGATAAGCTAAATGCAGATGAGGACTTCTCTGACTTCTTTGAGCAGGAGATTGACAGCAGCTTGTCCCCAGGTAATGTAGACCCTGCCTGGTTGAAGGACCATGGATATGCAAAGACCCTTAAGCTGTTCTTAACATCCCCTCTTTTGTGGGCTACTTTTTAACTTCTGTTAAGAAGACACAAAGCCAAAAAAAAAAAAAAAAAGCCCCTACTGAGAGATAGCTGACATTGTAGGTCAGATGCATACATTATTCTGAATATGCAATTCAAGTCCCATTTTCTGCAAAGGTCTGCAGCCAGATTGACAAGTCATCTGTTCCATTCTTCCTTCCTAGGTAGTATGCACTCTTATCAGCTGTGGGTGGAGAGCCTCAAGGTAAGGGAATACATTTGCATCTAAGAAGGATGTTTATCTTTTAGTAGCAGTTATGTCTTCACTTAATTATTTTCTCATGTTTAAGATGTTCTTGTATGAGGAGTTATTACAAGGCTCTTCCATTTAGACCTGTAATGAAGATAGATCTGGAAAGCAAAAATCCAGATGGATGGAGCAAAGAAGGGTTGTCATTTAGTACCTGGGTTGTCTGAAATTTTGCAGCCCACATGCAGTCATCCTAAATGAAAAACCAGTTTGAAAGATTAATATGCTCCCAATATGTCATGGAGTCCTTGTTGCTCTTTGAGTTTTGGTTTTTGCTTGCAGACATTTCATTACCCAACTACATCATCATCCATGCATTCATGATCATTGAGCATGGATGATGTTACCTAGTTGGGTAATGAAACGTCTGCCAGCAAACAATCAAGTTCAGAGAGCACCAAGGATTCCAACCCTCAGCTATATTATATATTCTCTTCTATTGGTATCCTAAGGTCTCAACACAAGCCTCCAAAGAATTGCCAGAATTTAAACCAAATTTTAATAATATTTAGGACTGGGCTAAAGATGTTGCTCTCTAAATTTCACCAAATACTGCATGTTGATCCCCAATCCAACTTATCAACTAAAGAGTGACGCTATGAAATATTAATTTTGTCATGAACCTGCTCTCCAGGCCCTAAGTCTTTTGGCCATACCACAAAGGTATCCCACATACATTTCCAGTACGAGGATACTTCCAATCTACCTTACAGGGAATCTTCTTTAAACACTAAAGGGATCTGTTGCATATTAGAAATTCAAAACCAGTTTTCTAGACGAGTTTCCTTGTCTAATTGGGATTTGTTGTAGAACTTCCCATAACTTCCTTTTGCTCAGTCAGAGCAGCCAGGGGACTCCTTGAGCGTCTTATTTCAATGGAGTGGAATGGGCCTTGCTCTTAACAGTTGTGTTCAACCTTTTCTCCCTAGAAAAGTGGAGGAGCCCTGATTAGTACTATGAAGAATAAGGCCAATCCAGCTGTCAAGAATGCATACCAATATGTAAGGCAATTTCTTCTCCTTCTCCTCCTCCTCCTGAAATAGCTTA